CCCACGTTTTCATCCAAAAAGAGTTTGGTGTAGGTTTTAGGGCTTTCCTCTGCACTTATGTCACAGGAAATCCTAGAAAATGAGGGTTGGAAGAGACCTCAGGAGGTCACATCTAGCTCAACTCCCTGCTCAAAGCAGGACCAGCCCAACTAGATCATCCCAACCAAGGCTTTGTCCGACCAGGTCTTAAAAAACTCCAGCAATGGAGACTCCACCACCTCTCTGGGTACAAGCTGCTAATATTATTTATGATTCCATTAGGAATATTATTATTAGGAATAATATTATTATTATTATCTATACATACAAGCTGCTAATATTATTATTCCATTAGGAATATTATTATTAGGAATAATATTATTATTATTATCTATACATACAAGCTGCTAATATTATTATTCCATTAGGAATATTATTATTAGGAATAATATTATTATTATTATCTATACATACAAGCTGCTAATATTATTTATTATTCCATTAGGAATGCCATAGAAGTATATTTCTGAACAAATTTAGACTTAGTCTATCCTGAAAGTAAATGAATGTTTTCTCTCTCTTTGAGGACAATTACATTATCAAGTTTATAAAAGATAAATTTGTTTATATATCTTGCCCTTCTTTCTTGTAAATATATGGGAATACTGTAAGTTATTTTTATATTTCACACAAGAGTGTAAACATGGCAATTTTAAACCTTATTTTCCAGAAGGAAATTTCAACAATTCTCATTTTTTTTTTAACTTTTTTTTTCTTCCAATAAAACCTGGGGGGGGATGTTGGTTTAAAAAATAAGGTTTTGATAGACATTCTAAGTTTACAAAATTCTTTCCTTTCTTCCTTCCTGGATAACAAATATTTATTTTTTTTATCAAAATGTATCAAGACCAGCCTAAAATTCTGGCAAACTTTAACAAAAATATTTTCTGTTAAAATATGTTTTTTCCATAATAAATAAACCTTTTTCATAAGCACGGGCATTTACCATTGATGGTGACATCCAAAGTGTCAATGTAGAGTAAGTCAGTTTTGTGTAGATTGTAAAATGTGACAATTTCTTTATTAAAAAATAGGATCTGGATACCACTGCTATTTTTTTTCTGAAGGCAAAGGATTGATGAAGTTGTATTCTGTATTTCTTTTCAATATCAACTCGATGTGAAAGTCTAAGATTCAGGGATTGGTGTAAAACACTCGACAGCTTAGCTGGGGATATGAAAATTATTAAATAATGGTTACTGTTCTAGATCTTATTTTTCAAAGTTTTAAAGTTGGTGGGGAGTCTCCTAATTGGAAAAAAAAAAAACAGACTGAAAGACAAACAGGAGCCCAGACAGAAGAAATCATTTAATGTGATTTCTGATGGAGTGAGGAGGCAGAAATACCTCACAAAGCTTAAATGAGTAGGCAAAAAAAGTGCCCAAACAAGTTTTGACCAGTTCAAAGTAATACACGTGGGGAAATATAACAAAAAACCCCCCAAAAAACAAAACAAAAAGGAAATTATCATGCCACTATTTGAATCCATGGTGCACCCACATCTTAAACACTGATTGCAGTTCTGGTCTCCAGATCACAAAAAGGGTATAGGAGGAGTAAAAATGGTACAGAGAAGAGCAACCAGAATGATCAAGGTATGGAGTAGCTGCTGTACCAGGGGAGACTGAAGAGACTATGGCTGTTCTGCCTGGAAAGGAGAAAGCTGAAGGGGGATATGCTAGAGGTCTAAAAATCATGAAGGGTATGAATATGAATGAATAGGGAGAAATTATTCAGTAATTCATAGAATATCAGAACTAGGGGACACCAGTGAACTTAGTAGGAGACAGGTTTAAAACTAACAGGAGAAAATACTTTTTACACAGCACACAGTGAACTTGTGGAACTCATT